TTTGTTGAAAAATTCAGTAGTTAAAATGGTGTTAGGTGTTGTTGCTACTGGAAGTTTTGCGATTGCGTTTGGCCAAGAGAAAATTTTTCAGTTACTGCCGTTTACCCAAAGTGGTGCAAACAATGCTGCGTGTTTAAATCAGTTCTATCGAGAGCAACCACCTGTTTTAATCAAAGAAAGTTTAAAGAAAAACAGTTATCCCTTATGTTTTAACGGGTTTAATGTAATGTATTCGGGTGTTTCAAAAACACCGTTATGGACAGCAGAATATTTATCTCCACAGCGCTTAAGTCAAAAGATTAAGCGTGAAGATAATTTTCATGAAGAGCCACGTGTAAACGCTACACATCGTGCATTATTATCGGATTATCGTGGTTCAGGCTATGACCGTGGTCATATGTCACCCAATGCCGATATGCCCAACAAAGAATCACAGTTCGACAGCTTTTCTTTGGCCAATATGGTGCCGCAAGCTGCTAAAAATAACCAACAAGTTTGGCGTGAGTTAGAAGAAGCAACCCGCGCGATTGTGACCAAGCAAAAGAAAGATGTCTATGTGGTCACTGGCCCAGTCTTTTCTGGCAAAAAACTAAAAACCATTGGAAAGGGTGTGATTGTTCCAACCGCAATCTATAAAGCGATTTACTTGCCTAAACACGGGATCATTGGTGCGTACTATGCGCCAAATAATGATTCACTTCAGGTTAAAGTGGTCAGCGTATGCTATCTAGAAGAACAGTTGGGAATGAATTTATTTCCGCAACTGACCGAAGAACAAAAGCGCAATACGTATAAATTGCCTTTGAACGCAAAGCAGGTCAAGGTCAATAAAGAAATTGAATACTCACATTGGGATGCGGAAAGTCAATGTGCAGAAGAGGTCAGTCAGGATAAAATCAGCGCACTGCAAAAGCAGTTCCAACCCAAAAGTAGTTCAACCGCTACATCGGATATGCAATTGCCGAAAGTCGATCCTGAAACCAAAGATGCTTTGGTGAAACAATTGGTCGAAGCGTTGTTGCAATATATTTTACAAATTTTGAAATAATTCAGCACTGATGGTGCAGTATCTTTTGAGAATCTATTTATACTGTAAATAAGATCGAAAAAAATTGAGAAAATTAAAAATGTTTAAACCGTTTGAGAATGGCACCGAATCACATTCAATTCATGATTTAACCTTAGAAAATCAAACTGATTGTGTCAGTATTTATGGCAATTTACAGATCACCAAAGATCAAGCTGGCTTAAAAGCGGCTAAGCTTTTACAGAGCTATCTCAATGAAGTTGTGGCAAGTTTAGAGAAGCAAAGTGATCTACCAGAACAGCTTGCGCGTCAAAGCGAAGGTGAAATAGAGAATCCATTTCTTTAAAGGCCATATTTATTTTTAAGCCATTTTTGAATTAGTTATGTTCTAATTCATTGGTTTATATGTGTAAAAAAACCTACCGAAGCAGGTTTTTTACATTGAAAATCTATTTAGGATTGAGGCTCATTACCCACAACCTTATAAATCAATGCTCCAATGATTGCACCGACAATTGGCGCCACCCAGAATAACCATAATTGACTCAATGCTGCTGTTTCAGCAAATAAAGCCACAGCAGTACTTCGTGCTGGATTAACTGAAGTATTGGTAACGGGGATACTAATTAAGTGAATCAAAGTAAGTGCTAAACCGATGGCAATCGGGGCAAAGCCAGCAGGTGCACGTTTATCTGTTGAACCGAGAATAATAATTAAGAAAAAGGCGGTTAATACGATTTCAATTAACAATGCAGAGACTAAAGAATATTTGCCAGGGGATAAATCACCAAAGCCATTGCTGGCGAATCCACCAGTTCCTGTGAATCCCGCCTGACCTTGTACGATTAAATACAAAACAAATGCGGCCAAAATACCACCGATGACTTGAGCAATAATATAAGGGGCTAAGTCTTTGGCATTAAAACGACCACCTACCCATAAACCCACACTGACCGCAGGGTTAAAATGCCCGCCTGAGATATGCCCTAAAGCAAAAGCGCCTGTGAGTACGGTTAAACCGAATGCCAGTGCAACACCAGCAAAACCGATGCCCAGTTCTGGAAAAGCAGCGGCAAATATTGCGCTACCACATCCTCCAAACACCAGCCAAAAGGTTCCGATAAATTCTGCGAGATATTTATTCATATTGATTCCTAAATTATTTTTTTGAACGGAATGGGGTTATATGACTATTTTTAGATAGTTGATAACCGTGGGGTGGATACAACTTTTATTTTCTGTATAAAGATAATAGTCTAAAAATATGAAAATAAAATCACAAATAAAAAATATTCATATCAATATCGGCTAATGTTCTGATTTTATTTTAAAAAATTATATTTTACAGCTATTTAATGCTAAACAAATGAGTGGTGATAATGGTGAAACATGCTGTTTTTATCTATAAATTTAATACACAATTACTTAAACTCTCGATGCTGAAGACGCCATTGTTGCGGTGTTAAGCCTGTCCATTGTTTAAAAGCACGTTGGAAAGCACTTTGTTCTGAGTAACTGAGAAGCAGGGCAATTTCATGCAGACCTAGATGAGGATCTTGCAGATATTGAAAGGCCAATAATTGGCGGACATCTTGAACACGTTGTTGATAAGTGGTGTTCTGACTTTGTAGATGACGTTGTAACTGGCGTATCGACATATTCAGTTGTTTGGCAATCGCTTCGATTTGATAATTGTTTTTTTGTAATCCCAATAAAATACTTTGTTGTAAGCGCTCATCTAACTGGGTGGCATTGGGTAAGCTTTCAAGCAAGGCCTGTGCTTGTTGCATCAGTAGTTTTTGCAGGGTTTGATCACTGCGTTTAAAGGAAATCGCAAGTGCGCTGATGGGAAAGATCAGTTCGACTTTTTCTTGCTGAAAGAGCACAGGACACTTAAAGAATGCTTGATACAGCATGCTGTTTTTAGGTTGAGGATGAATAAAATTAACCTGATACAGCGTTATATCATCGGATATAAATTGTCTTAAAAACTGAATCACCACGGCCATCGCAATTTCATCAGTAATTTGAGTGGTTAAATGGGTGGGTAGATTTTCCCAACGTACCGAGATGTGCTGTTCATCATAATATTCAACTTTCAGCGGGCTTCCATCATAAATCAATCGATGAAAATCATGGTAGCGGGTGAGTGCCTCTCCAAGCGTGTCACAAGATTGTGCAATATAGGCAATGATACCAATATGTTTGGGTTGTACATATTTAGAGATGTCTAGACCCAAAGCTGGGCTTTGTACTTGTGATTGAATGTCATCCAAGATTTCACGCCAAACGGTATAGTCAAAGCGTTCAACATTTTGAATCTGTTGTAGTTTGGATGAGATCTTTAGACTTTTAGCTTCACTAAAAGTATAGAGTAATTGTCCAAGCCCGCCATATATCGAGCCCGCATAGTCCTTTAATTGCATCATTTACACATCTTGTTATTGTGTGATCTACGTCAGCTGTAGTTTAAACATTATACTATTTTAGTTTGTCGTAATTTGTCAATGAAAATACTTTTTGATGTCAATACCTATTTCCCAGCATGTTTTATATTCACAATAAGCAAGAGGGATTGATTATGTTAAAAGGTTTTTTAGTCGGATTGGTCGTCGCAAATGGTTTTGAATGGGTTGCGCATAACTATATTTTACATGGTCAACATCGCCCAGGGAAACCACGTTTCAGTCCAGTGCCGCGCAGTATGAAATCGCATTGGGAACACCATCGTGAAGTGCGTAAACAAGATTTTCATGATGATGGCTATGTAGAAGGGATTTCAAATTGGCGGACCAAAAATGAAATCGTTTCTTTGGCGGTGGTTGCTGGTGCGGCAAGTCTGATTTTCTACCCGATTTCGAAAGGAATGGTTGCTGCATCGCTTTATAGTGCGTGTAATTATTATTATATCCATCGCCGTGCACATTTAGAGCCAGATTGGGCGATGAAGAAAATTCCTTGGCATTATGATCACCACATGAACTCAAACCAAGATGCCAATTGGTGTGTCACTAAGCCTTGGTTTGATTATCTGATGGGAACACGGGTGATTTCTTCTGCGGATCTGCAAGAGCAGAATCCTTTAGGTGTGAAATTGCCTCAGCCAATCGCAAACTGGTTATCATCCAGCATAGAAAAATATTTTCCAGCCAAATGGGTAGAGAAAAAACCGCTATTGGTTGAGGAAAATACGCAAAAGCTCAACGATTCTGTGGCCTAATTGGGTTTCGTGAATTTTATTACATCTACTGAACTGTTTAAAACTTTAGTGAAATGAACTGGATGCGTAGTGTGAAAGCTTGAATTTATCGTGATTGGTCAGCGTTTTCGGTATCTTTGGTCAATATTAAGTCATGCCATCGATGTATATTGATTGCACAGCATGTACCCACTGCCGTGTTTTAAGTTTTATAGGAGTCTCCAAGACTCCTTTTTTTATACGTGGGAAAAGTAAATATATATAAGATTAAATTTATAAGCTCATGTGATCGCGTCATCTTGTACGATGGAGCAATAAAAAAATCCCCTGACGGGGATTTTTTAGATGTGCATAAGATGCACATCACTTTTGGATTTTTGCTTTGCGAGGCTGTGGACATTACTCAGGCTTTAAGCCTTCCGCCATTTCCAATGATTGATCATTATCCAAAAATTTTTCACGCTGTTCTTCTAAAAACTTTTTTGCATCTGGTTCAAACACGTTTAAACGTTTTTCATTGATTAACGTGGTTTGGTGTTTTAACCATTCTTGCCAAGCTTGTTTAGACACTGTGTCAAATAACACTTGACCCTTTGGACCTGGAAAGGGTGCAAAGTCTAAACCTTCTAACTCTTTTTGATATTTACGGCAAAATACTTGTCGAGTCATATCAAAACTCCTTATGCATAAAGTTTTTCTAAACGGATATAAGCGCGTTCAATGGCAGCAGCAACCTGTGCAGGCGCAGTACCACCAATATGATTACGTGCATTGACAGATGCTTCAAGGGTTAAAGCTTTTTCAAACACATCTGCTTGAATTAAATCTGAGAATTGTTGTAATTGCTCAAGGCTTAACTCAGAAAGATCTTTCGATTCTTGCACACCTAAAGCCACGGCTTTACCTACGATTTCATGTGCATCACGGAAAGCAACGCCATTTTTTACAAGGTAATCAGCCAAGTCTGTTGCGGTAGAGAAACCACGTAGCGCCGCTTCACGCATGATTTCAATATTTGGTACAAGTGCAGGAATCATATCTGCAAAAGCCATCAATGAACCACGCACTGTATCAATCGCATCAAACAAAGGTTCTTTGTCTTCTTGGTTGTCTTTGTTATAGGCCAAAGGTTGACCCTTCATGAGGGTGAGCAGACTCATTAAGTCGCCATAGACACGGCCAGTTTTACCACGAATTAGTTCAGGAACATCTGGGTTTTTCTTTTGAGGCATGATCGATGAGCCAGTACAGAAACGGTCAGGAATATTCACAAACTTAAATTGTGCAGAAGTCCAAAGAATCATTTCTTCTGACATACGTGATAAATGCATCATGATTAAAGATGCAGCAGCATTGAACTCAATTGCAAAGTCACGGTCAGATACTGCATCTAAAGAATTTTCAGCAACGGCTTCAAAGTTTAACAATTCTGCAGTATAAGCACGATCAATAGGATAGGTTGTTCCAGCAAGCGCAGCAGAACCTAAAGGCATACGGTTGACACGTTTACGGCAGTCGATTAAACGCTCAGAGTCACGCACCAACATTTCAAACCACGCCATCAAATGATGACCAAAAGTCACAGGTTGCGCAGTCTGTAAATGGGTAAAGCCTGGCATGATGGTGTCAGTATTCTTCGCTGCTAAGCCCAAGATGCCTTTTTGTAATTTTTCCAGTAAAGTCAAAATCGCATCAATTTCGTCACGTACATATAAACGGATGTCTGTGGCAACTTGGTCATTACGGCTACGACCGGTATGCAATTTTTTACCTGCAATCCCGATACGCTGAGTTAAACGAGATTCGATATTCATGTGCACATCTTCTAAATCAATGCGCCATTCAAATTGACCTGCTTCAATTTCAGCTTTAATTGTGTTTAAACCATTGATAATGTCATCACGTTCTTGTTCTGTAAGGACACCAACTTTTGCTAACATAGTCGCATGTGCGATCGAGCCAGCAATATCTTGTTTATAAAAGCGTTGGTCAAATTGAACTGATGCAGTAAATTCAGCAACAAAGGCATCAGTAGCTTCAGAGAAACGACCGCCCCACATGCCTGAAGTTTGGGCTTGTGACGGATTAGAGGAATTAGAAGATGTGGTCATATCGGCTCAGTAGGAAAAAAAGCAGTAGAACTAAACGCAGTATAACAAATTCAGCCTCACTTGCCGAAGTAAAGCGCAATCATTCATCAATAAAATCTGGGCGCGGTTTTTATCAGTCTTATTTTTTTAGCAAAATGGGGCATCGCAAGTATTTATTCGAATTATTTATCTCTAGTAATGTGTTGGCTTTTTTATTGGCATTGGCCGAAGCACAATCATGGGGCAATTTAAATCTTTGGCATGTTTTAGAATATATTTTATATATTAATTGGATATTATTGGCCTTTGCGGCTTTTCAGGATGTATTTGAAAAACGACTATCGCAGTATACCTATTTATCTATTTCAATATTCAGTTTTATCCTTTTACAGGCGATTGTGCTGTGTACAACACTGGTTTTAAATATTATTCATTATTGGGGAACGCATTTTTCTTTACAAAATATTTCCATCCAAGACATTTCGCATAATCTTATTTTGCATGTCAGCTATGGGGTATTACTGGGCGCATTTTGTTTACGCTACTTGTATATCCGTGAACAAGCAGTATTGCAGCAAAACAGTGAATTGAATGCGCGTATTCAGGCCATGCAAGCACGTATTCATCCACATTTTTTATTTAATAGTTTAAATAGCGTGGTGAGTTTAATTGCGATTGATCCTGATAAAGCTGAACAAATGCTGATAGATTTATCCAAATTGTTTAGAGCCAGTTTTCAAGAATTAAAGCTCGTGACCTTAAAAGAAGAAATACAGTTATCTCAACAATATATTGCAATAGAGCAAATTCGTTTGGGAGATCGTTTAAATGTGGAATGGAATATTCAACAACCGCTGTTATTAGATCAGGTCAAAATTCCCTTATTAACCTTACAACCTTTAATTGAAAACAGTATTTTTCATGGGGTTGAACAAAAGATTATCGATGCCAAGATCGGCATACTGGTTGAAATATTGCAAAATCAAGTCAACATAGTCATTACCAACCCATTTTTACAAGATAGAATAAAAGTACGAGAAGGGCATGGAATTGCTTTAGAAAATGTAAAACAGCGTCTAAAAGCACATTTTGGCGATTCTGTTTATTTTCGGAATTATGCAGGGAATGGATTATTTACAATGGTAATCCAATATCAGTATAAAAATAGATGATTGGGAAATTCATTAAAATAAAGACGATATATTTGGGTAAGGAGGAGCAATGGACATCCTGATTTGTGATGATGAACCGCTTGCAGTGGAACGCTTATCACGATTGGTGTCGCAACTTGGGCATCAGGTTATTGCAACAGCGCAACATGGTCAACAGGCATTGGAAATGGTTCAGCAGTTCGAGCCAGATGTAGTGTTGCTTGATATTCAAATGCCAGAAATGGATGGTTTAAGCTGTGCGCAGCATTTAGCACATTTTAATCCGACGCCAGCAATCGTATTTTGTACGGCATTTGATGAACATGCTTTGCAAGCCATTCAATCTCAAGCAAAAGGATATTTATTAAAACCAATTGCCAAGGATGATTTGGAAACGGTTTTGGAGAGTGTCACTAAACTGACTCAAGCTCAATTAACTCACTTAGAAAAAAAAGAACTCATGGAAGAAAAAGTGCAAAGACAGCAAATTGCTGCAAAAACCTATCGAGGTTTGGAGCTAATTCCTGTTGAAAATATTTACTATTTTTTAGCAGATCAAAAATATGTCACCGTGCGTCATAAAAATGGCAGTGTGCTTATTGATGAAACGCTCAAAGATTTAGAAACAGAGTTCGCAGATCGATTTATTCGTATTCATCGTAATGCTTTAATTTCTCTAGATTATTTAGATGGATTGGAAATGGTATCCTCTGGGCAGTATCAGGTACGATGCCGTGAGTTAGACGAGCGTTTGGCAGTCAGTCGTCGTCACTTACCGTTACTGCGCGAACGGATGCAGAATTTATAGTTTGATGGGAAGCTTAAATCATTTTGATAATTTACTTGCATTTTTGCGATTGCAGGGTAAGTTTAGAGTGTTTAAAAGTTTGGCAAAGCTGAAATGATGAAAACCTTGAAAATAGCAACTCGCCAGAGCCCGCTCGCAATGTGGCAGGCTGAGCATATTCGTGATCGTTTAGAGCAATTACACGCGCATGTAAAAGTAGAATTGGTTACCTTTGTAACCCAAGGTGACAAAATTTTAGATACACCTTTGGCCAAAATTGGTGGTAAAGGCTTATTTGTCAAAGAATTAGAAGCTGCTTTAATGGATGGTCGTGCAGATCTAGCCGTTCATTCCATGAAAGATGTGCCGATGCAATTACCAGAAGGTTTGGAGCTTGCGGTCATTTGTGAACGTGAAGACCCTTTTGATGCTTTTGTTTCTAACCATTATGCAAAGTTTGAAGATTTACCACAAGGCGCAACACTTGGTACATCGAGCTTACGCCGTAAATGTCAGATTTTAAAACAGCGTCCTGATTTAAATGTGATTGATTTACGTGGCAATGTTGGAACACGCTTATCTAAGCTGGATGCAGATCAATATGATGCCATCATCCTTGCCAGTGCAGGCTTAAAACGCTTAGAACTCTCCGATCGTATTCGGCATACGCTACCAGCAGAAATTAGCTTACCTGCAGTAGGTCAAGGCGCACTGGGTTTAGAGTGCCGCTCAGCTGATCAAGAGATTTTGGATTTAATCATGCCTTTAATGCATGTTGAAACCAATGCCTGTGTCCGTGCTGAACGTGCTTTTAATGCTTATCTAGAAGGTGGCTGCCAAGTGCCTATTGCAGGTTTTGCCACATTGAAGGATCAAACATTGTCTTTGGAAGGGCGTGTAGGGAGTGCGGACGGCCAAACGCTATTATGTAGCCAAGTCAGTGGCACACTAGATCAAGCAGAGCAGTTAGGTGTGCAACTTGCACAAAACCTACTTCAACAAGGTGCTGGAGAAATACTCAAAGCACTTTATCAAGCTTAGTTTTTAGGCTTCAATGCTATTTATTAATACGCGTCCCATCGATCGAGCTCAGCCGTTAACCGAATGTCTGCGCCAGTCAGGTTTTGACGTGGTTGATCTGCCATTATTGGCATTAACACCACGTCCATATAACAACACATTACAACAACTTTATTTACAGCTGTTATCGACTCAAATTATTGTTGTGGTCAGTCCTACAGCTGTTCAGATTGGTATGCAATTTCTTCAGCAATCGGGTCTATCACTTATGCAGATACAGCATATTCAGTGGATTGCTGTAGGGAAAAAAACTGCGCAACGACTCTTAGATTATGGGGTGGAAAGCCATGTTCCTGCGGTGGAAACATCCGAAGGCATGCTAAGCTTGCCGCTGTTTAATCAGGTAAAAGAGCTCAAGAGAATTGCGTTTTGGCGTGGTGAAGGTGGGCGTCAATTTATGATGCAACAATGCCAAGCGCGTCATATTGATGTTTTAAACTTTGTTTTATATGACCGCGCATTTCCTCAACAAACTCAGGCACAATTTTTAGATTTTGTGAACAAAATTGAGCAATTTGAAAAGCCCTATTGGAGTTGTATCAGCAGTGAAGCCAGTTGGCACAATTGGCTGGCTTTGACCCGAGATCATCAAGAGATCGTGAGTGCTTGTCATTATTTAGTTTTGGGTGAGCGTTTGTATCAATTATTAAGACATGGTAAAAATGCAGGTCAGGCCTGTTTGAATAGCACTCAAATTTCAAATTTAGCGCCAGAAACCATTCTACAAACCATAGTGCAGTTGCAAAGGAAGTTATGAAGAAGTTTATTTATGTCTTATTGTTGATCGCTTTAGGATGGCTCGTTAAGTTGAGTTATAACTTCTATCATGTTTCACAACAACTCAATGATATTCAACAAACGCTGCATAAAAGTGAACAAAAGAATGCCAGTTTGAATGATCAATTGGTGGCAGTAAAACGACAAACAGATGAACCGACTCAAGAGGTGGCAAAGAAAACCGCTTCGATTCAAACGCCTATTGCTGGTATTCATCCTAGTGTAGTGGTTAAACAGCAACTAGAGTTGGTGCAATTTGCTATGCAACAACAACAGTTTGTGTATGCACTTGAGCATCTTACTCAGTTAAATCAATCTTTAGATCAGTATGCGTTGGCAGATGCAGTAAAACAAAGCCTACATCAAACCATTGCGCAAGATATTCAGAGTATTCAACACTTTGTGATTGAACGAAATGCCCAGCGAGATCAACTAGAGGCTTTACTTAAACAAGTTGATCAAGCACTCATCACTGAATTGAAAAATAATCAACTGAAACCAGATCAAGATCAGTCGCAATACTTTTGGGAAAAATGGTTTCAAGTCGATATTGTTGAAACAAATACTCCTGCATTGGCAAACCGTAAATTTATTTTAAAAGAAGTCCAATTAAGATTATTACTGGCACAACAATTATTAGTTAAAGGGCAAACTGCTGAATACCAAGAGATGCTGAATCAAATGATTCAACAATTGGATATATTACCCGATGCTGCTAGTCAGAAGATTAAGCAAAAAATATTAAAAATGAAGCAAACATCGCAGCCGCCGATTCCTAAGCTGAATAGCTTGGCTGTTTTGGGGTAGATCGATGAAACATATTTTTCTGATCTATGCCTTTATTAGCCTGATTATTCTGGCTGTACTGAGTGTATTGAGTTATACCGCAGGGTCAGGTTATGTCTATGTGCTCTGGCACAATATTCAAGTTCAAACCAATTTATGGTTGTTAACATTTGCTGGCGTTGGCATCAGTTTTTTGATGCATGTGGCATGGTATTTCCTCAATCGTTATATTCGCCGAGAAAAAAGAAAATTAGAACAAGTACTGAGTTTTAACACGTTGCACCCATTTGAACAGTTTGGTGTGTTGTGGTTATTAGATGGTGAAGATGAACAAGAGCAGGTGATTCAAACGATTTTTGATCAATCTGGTTTATTAAAGCCGATTGTGCAATCCCGTTTATTACTCAAACAACTGCATTATTCAGAAGCATTAAACGCTTTAGAACATGGCTCTCCATCCGCTTTTGAATTGGCGGAAATTTTACGTATCGAAATTTATTTGGCCCAACAGGACAGTCAACAAGCGCTGACCCATTTAGAGTTTTTAAATGGACATGAGCTTTCGTCGTGGCTGAATCAGCTTTCAGAAAGTTATAAATTGTCTGTGCAAAAATTATGGGGACAATTTGCCCTGCAATATCCTTGGCAATATTTACACTCAACTCAATTCGGACAATTAGAAACGGCGACTAAACAGCAATGGTTAATACAGCTTTTAGGTTGTTATGACCAAGCAAGTTTTGAAGATACTGAACTATTACAGCAAAAATTTTTAGAGATAGAGCCGCAACTCGATCAAATGCCTTATGAGACAAAAGTGCTTTGGCTAAAAATTATTACCCGCTTGCCTGAACTTGCTCAGCAACAACAGCAGCTGGTGATTCAAATACTTAATGAAAAATTTGACCAAGATGTATTCCATTTGTGGTTCCAGCAACAGTTGCTTAGACAGAATCCAAATTATGAGTATTTAGAGCAACAGATTATAAATCTTGAATCTAAATATATGAACATTCCTGTTTTTTGCTTTGCTAAATGGCATATATATATTGCAACACAGCGGGAATATGAAGCAGATCAACTTCTGTCATTATATCCAAATGATATTCTAATGAATTATTTAAGAATCAAGTCCACTTTAAATGGAAATGATGAATTAATTCAACAATTGAATTCAATTTTTGAAAAAGATAGCAATTATATTCAATTTAAAATTTGAGAACCTAGCATGAACCCACTGACACAATTCCCGATCGTTTATGAGCAAAAGGTTGCATGGGGCGATATGGACGCTTTTGGTCATGTAAATAATGTGATGTATTATCGTTATATTGAAAGTGCACGTATTGAATATTTTGATCGTTTAAATGTATTTGACCAAGATGTTTTAACTGTTGTTGCTTCAAGTCAATGCAAATATTTAAAACCTGTATTTTATCCAGATGTGCTACATATTGGTGCGCGGGTAGAAGAAATGAGAAATAGTGCTATACGCATGCATTATGTATTATTCAGTCAGCAACAACAGCAGATTGTGGCGGACGGAGAAGCAGTTATTGTTTTTGTCGATAAAGTAGCGATGAAAAAAGCATTAATTCCTCAACAGTTGCGAAAAGTTATAATTGATTTAGAAGCTACAGTGCATAATGATTTGGCAAATACATAAAAATGCCTCAGTTATCATCATTATATTTAAAACATAAGACAGCATATTCTTTTGCATTCGCTTTATTTTGATGTTAAAAATAAGCGCTTTGAGGTAATTATAATAATCTTTTTGTTGTTTTATGTGTTTATTGGGGAATATATGTATTGCTTATTGGAATAAATGAAAATACTATTGCTATGAAGTTATTTTAAATAAGTATTAAGAAATTTACGTGGAGAGTTAATGATGCCTGATATTAGTAATTTATCGGTTGAAGAGTTAAGAAAGTTAACAGCTGAAGCAGAAGCTTTAATTGAAAGTAAAAAAGACCAAGCAGTTGAAGATGCCTATAATAAAATTATTGAAATTGCGCAATCTGCTGGTTTAACTTTAGAACAGTTTATTGAATACGGCGCGCAAAAGCGTAAAAAGACAACGCGTAAAGCTGTTGAGCCGCGTTACCGCAATAAAAAAGATACTTCTGAAACTTGGACTGGACGCGGTAAACAACCACGTTGGTTGGTTGCAGAAATCGAAAAAGGTGCAAAATTAGAAGATTTCTTGATCTAATCTTCATCTAAGTGTCATTCAAAGACCTTAAAATCAAAGAACCAAGCAAATCTGCTTGGTTTTTTTATACGAGTGAATTGGCGTTATGCAAAAATTATGCATAATGTATAAACAAGAGGGCATCATCTTGCATGGAAGAATAAATGAATGATGGTAAAGATGAATGAATAAAAAATCAAAACAGATCACGTGGTGGATTACTGGAGTTGTCGCTTTTTTAATTTTTGTACTTTTGCAAGTCCCTGCAACATGGCTGATTTCTAAATTTTATAAGAACAATCAAACCTTACAAAATGTCAGTGGAAATATTTGGCAAGGGCAAGCAGATTGGCGCAAGGGTAATTTACGTGGGTCCGTTTCGTGGAGAACACGCCCGTGGGATCTGATTTTATTACGTGTGGGTGCAAATGTTGAAGTGCATAGTGGGCAAACTCAGCTCAATGGGGTTGTCGGCTATGGTATTGGTAAAAAAATAATTATTAATCAGATGCAAGGTCAGATTGCACCAGAAACTTTAAAGAATATTGCAAATTGGCAATGGCCAGCGAATGCAATTCAAATTTCAGATATGACCCTACGTTTTAAAAAAGACACTGGATTTAGTGATGTAGATGGTCAATTGCATTGGGGGGGTGGCGAGCTTGGTTATACTTTTGGTCAGCGTCAAGACCAAATGAATATCCCGTCTTTAAATGCACAACTTAAAGATGAGGCGGGTAAACTGATTTTGGATATACAAGATCAACGTAGCCAGAAGATGGCCAATATCGGCTTAGATCCAAGCATGATGTTAGATGTGCAATTAACCCAACGCATGTTACTCAATGTGCCTTCCTATGATGGAAAGGCTGGTTTAGATACTTTTGTGATTAGTTCTAGACAACCACTCATTCAAGGTGGTTTCTAATGAATATAAAAGAACGCTTTGAAAATATTTCTTGGAAAAGAACAGAGCACCTTGCGCCTGTTGTTTTATTTCTTTTAATTTTAGCATTGTGCTGGAAACTGGCTTCGATTTTTTGGTGGGTGGTTGCACCACCACAAGTCATGCAACCAGAGCAAGTGAGTCTAGGCTCACAACAAATCCAAGTTCCTAATATTTCAAGCTTTTCATTGTTTGAGGAAGTGGGTTCTAGTGCGACTGCCGATGACAGTATTCCGATGGTCTTGCAAGGTGTAGTCGTGAGTTATCCTGCGCGTTTTTCTTCAGCAGTGATTAAAGTCAAAGAAACAGCGGATCGTTATGCGGTGGGTGATCCAATTGAGGGTACCAGTTATCAGTTATCCGAAGTATATTGGGATCATATTGTTTTAAGTCAAAATGGAAATAACAGTAAAGAGTTACGTTTTACCGGGCTGGATAGTTTGTATCAGCCTATGCCAGGGCAATCTACAGATCAAAATACCAGCCCGCCAGCAAGTAATCCTGTGCCATCGCCACAACAAAATTCAAGCCAAAATGCTTTAGGGCAGGCGATTGAAAGGATGAATGAAAATCGGGACGAATACCTAAAGAACATGGGGGTTAACGCAAGTGGCGGTCAAGGCTATGAAGTGACAGATCAGACCCCCGCAGCGCTCCGAAATAAACTGGGACTAAGATCTGGAGATCGTATTCTTTCACTCAATGGACAATCAGTAGGTCAAGGACAGAGTGATGTTCAGCTGCTAGAACAAGCAAAGCGTGATGGCAAAGTAAAAATTGAAATTAAGCGTGGTGATCAGGTGATGACCATTCAGCAAAGTTTGTAAGTGGCTAGGACTACAAATAAAATTAGGATAGATAATAAGTTATGGCTTTTTTGAATCACAATCGACCACTTTGGGCTTTAGTTGCAGCGGCACCAATGATGGTTGCGGTCAGTACAGCAGCACATGCACAGACGTGGAAAATTAACTTACGCGATGCTGATCTCACGGCTTTTATCAACGAAGTTGCAGATATTACGGGCAAAAATTTTGCAGTCGATCCCCGTGTACGTGGCAATGTCACGGTTATTTCAAATAAACCTCTAAATAAAAATGAAGTTTATGACCTATTTTTAGGGGTGCTGAATGTCAATGGTGTGGTGGCTATTCCATCGGGGAATACCATTCGCTTGGTACCAGACAGTAATGTAAAAAACTCGGGTGTACCTTATGACCCACGCAATAATGCACGTGGTGATCAGGTTGTAACACGGGTGATCTGGTTGGAAAATACCAACCCCAATGATTTGATCCCAGCATTACGTCCTTTAATGCCACAATTTGCGCATTTGGCGGCAATACAAGGCACCAATGCGTTAATTGTGTCTGATCGTGCAGCGAATATTTATCAACTTGAAACCATTATTCGCAACTTAGATGGTACTGGGCAAAATGATATTGAAGCTGTTCCTTTACAACAGAGTCAGGCTGAAGAGATCATTAAGCAATTGGATGCCATGAGTTCGACAGGCGCATCGAAAGACTTTGCTGGGGCAAGGGTTCGTATTATTGCTGATGCACGGACCAACCGTATTTTGATTAAAGGGGATACAGGTACGCGTAAACGTATCCGCAATATGATTGAAATGTTGGATGTGCCTTCTGCAGATCGTTTAGGCGGTCTTAAAGTCTTTAAATTAAAATATGCCAGTGCAAAGAATTTATCTGAAATTTTACAAGGTTTGGTTACTGGTCAGGCAGTCAATTCTAGTTCAAATAATTCTTCTAATAGTAGTTCTAACAACAGCAATAGCAACAGTTTTAATAATAACAATTCATCATCGAATACCGGCTCAAGCACTGGAAGCAGTATTTCAACACCAGCAATTAATTTAAACAGCAACTCAAATAACAATAATCAAAATAATATCACCAGTTTTAATGCCAATGGTGTGAGCATTATTGCAGATGGTGCTCAAAATGCGTTGGTGGTTAAAGCTGAGCCACAACTGATGCGCGAAATAGAGGCTGCCATCCAACAGCTCGATGTACGTCGTCAACAAGTATTGATTGAAGCGACGATTATTGAGGTTGAGGGTAATGATACTGATCAACTCGGTGTGCAATGGGCAATGGGTGATCTAAGCAGTGGTGTAGGTTTAATTAACTTTGATAAAGTGGGTACAAGTTTAGCTAAATTGGCAGCAGGCTATCTATCAGGTGGTGCAGCTGGTTTAGGTGGTGCTGTTGGTCCAGGTGCTTCTCTTGTCTTAGGAGATTATAAAGAAGGTGCAGACGGTTCACGTAGACTATATGGTGCAGTGATTCAGGCTTTAAAAGCCAATACCAAGTCAAATTTATTATCTACACCATCGATTGTCACAATGGATAATGAAGAAGCGTATATTGTCGTTGGGCAAAACGTTCCATTTGTTACAGGTTCAGTCAGTACTGGGACAGGTGGCACCGTCAATCCATATACCTCAATTGAACGTAAGGATGTGGGGGTGACCTTAAAGGTAATTCCGCATATTGGTGAGGGCGGTTCGATTCGTTTAGAGGTAGAACAAGAAGTCTCTGCAGTTGCTGAAAATAAAGGGCAGGCAACGGATTTGGTCACCAGTAAACGTTCTATCAAGACCTCTGTGCTTGCAGATCATGGTCAAACCGTGGTGTTAGGCGGCTTGATTTCAGATGATACAGCTCATACACGCCAATCTATACCATTCTTGGGTGATATCCCGGGCTTAGGCCGTTTATTTAGAGCGGAAGGCAAATCGAATGCTAAACGTAACTTATTGGTGTTTATCCACCCAACGATAATTGGTGATAATGCAGATATACGCCGTGTATCTCAACAACGTTATGATCAACTGTATAGTCTGCAATTGGCGATGGATAAAGATGGTAATTTTGCCAAACTCCCAGCCAATGTTGATGATGTTTTTCAGCAACGACTACCGTTTAGCTCGACACCAAGTTCGCAACCTAAGCTGGTACAACCACAACCGACAGCACAACCATCAAGCCAGTATCAAAAAGTGCCTACAGGTGCCAAGACAGGTGCAGTACAAGGCAATGCAGTGACTACACCCGTTGCAGAGGAACCAAATGATATCCGTAAGCAGTAGCATTGTGGGCTTCGCGTAACAAGTGCTTCTAATCGCATGCTTTATTTGATATTTAAAATAGCTTGTTAAAGTATTGTGGTGTGTTCTGTTGTGGCGTGGACAACATAAAGCTTGGTTTTACGCTGATTTAGCACTGTAGAAATGTCATGCTAAGATAGACTTGAATTAGAATGGGAAGATAATCATGACTTGGAAATTACAAGCAATTACAGGTGAGTTAGAAGGGCAGGAAGTCACGATTGACCGTGATATGCTGGTTGGACGCCATCAAGATGCAGACCTGTTATTACAAGCTGCGGAAATTTCACGTCGCCATGCCGCATTCTTATTAAAAGAAGATGCGCTTTGGGTTCAAGATCTAAAGTCATCCAATGGTACTTTTGTGAATGATATCCGTATCGATCAAGATAAACTATTGATGGACGGTGATATTGTTCAATTTGCCAGTGTTAAATTTAATGTGCTTGCACCAGTAAAACCTGTTGTTTTGCAAACTGAACAGGCAGCGCCTGAGGTTGAAGTTCAACCGGTTGTAGCTTCAGTAGAAACGCCAGTTCAACAACCTGCAGAAGCTGTGGCGACTGCTGAAATTAAACCAGCTGCCCCAGTAGAACGTACAGTGGCAGATCAGATGAATGAACAGGGCATGCCTGAGCTTTCAGAACGTGATAGCAATGTTCAAATCAATCGTGAAGGTATGCCTTCTGGTGTAGCAATCCCTAAACCTGCGCCAATTCCAGAAGGTGTGGATATTCATGCGGCTACACAGCCAAAAGTAGAGCAGGTCAAAGCACCTGAACTTGTTGCAGAAGAACATGTCGAAACTCAGAAAAATGCAAAGTTAGGTTTGGCAACACTGGTGATTTTGATCATTTTGGCAATTATTGCATGGCTATTGTTTAAATAATTTGCGAATGCGCTACACTCAAGGCATGCAATCGCATGCCTTTGTTTTTTGTATTTTGGTTTTTAAAAATTAAAACTCGATTTAGGTGTAAATCATGAATGTGGCAAAGCTAGACCAACGCGAACTGATTTTATTTGATTTGGATGGGACCTTGGTTGATTCAGCATTTGATTTATATCGTGCCATGAATTTAAGTCTAGCGCGTTTGAACTTACCCCAAGTCACTGAACAACAGGTTCGGGTTTGGATTGGTAAAGGCACCTCGTTATTTTGTGAAAGTACATTGAAGTATTTAAAAGGTGAAGTGGATCCTGTACTGCATCAACAGCTTTTGGATACATTCTTGGAAATTTACAATGCAGAACCTTGTGTTGATACCAAACCATTCTCTGGAATTTTAGAATTTTTAGAATGGGGAATTGAAAACAATAAGAAATTGATTTGTGTGACCAATAAACCAGAACAGCCCGCTCGAAAAATCTTAGAAGAATTGCAAATGGATCACTATTTTGTCGATGTAATAGGTGGTGATCGTTTTGAAGTGCGTAAACCACATCCAAAACCATTGTTGTATTGTGTTGAAACTTATCAGTCATCAACTGACAAAACCTTGATGATTGGCGATTCAAGTAATGATGTCGAGGCTGCACGCCGTGCAGAGGTTGATTGTATTGTGGTCAGCTATGGTTATAATCACGGTGAAGATATTCAACTCTGTCAGCCACAACAAGTGGTGGATGATTTAACAGAGCTTTTGGCTTAACTCCGGTATATTTAAATTGTTGCGAAAAAAGGGAAGAGGAATGAATAGCAAACGCACTTTTCGATGGCGTCACTAAGTGAAATGCAGAGACATCCATACTTAGTATTATCGAAAATAGAGAGAATTCCTGATGACAACCTTAGCGCAATTTGAACAACTAAAATCAGCGGGTTATAACCTTATCCCTGTATACCGCCAACGCTTAGCCGATACAGATACGCCATTGTCTGTATTTGCACGCTTAAAACAGCATCAACAAGCTTATCTTTTTGAATCTGTCGAAGGTGGTGAAAACTGGGCAAGATATTCAATTATTGGACTGGGTGAATCAATCGTATTTTCCTGTAATGCAGGACAGCTCACGATAAAATCGGCAGATGGCTCGATAGATACCCAGCCATGTGCAGATCCATTTCAATATATCCGTGATTTTCAAGCGCAGTTTAAAGTACCCACCCAGCAAGATTTACCCGCACTGCCTAATTTTACTGGCGGCTTGGTGGGCTACTTTGGCTATGACGCAGTACGTTATATTGAGCCACGGTTAAAGAATGTGCCTGAGGCGGATCCCGTTGGACTGCCTGACTTATGGATGATGTTGTCTAAAACCGTCATTGTGTTTGATAACTTAAAAGATACTTTGTTTTTAATCGTGCATGCAGATGTTAATGATACAGAGGCTTATGCCAAGGCTCAGCAACAGCTGGATGAGATTGAGGCATTATTGGCTATGCCAATCAGCTTGGTTGCTAAAAAACATACCGCTCCGCATTTTGAGTCACTGACTGGGCATGACAAATTCCTTGAGTCAATTGAGAAAGTTAAAGAATATATCCGTGCTGGTGATGTGATGCAGGTTGTTCCTGGGCATCGTATGGTGTCGGATTTTGATGGTGAGCCTTTACAGGTTTATCGCGCATTACGACATCTCAATCCATCACCGTATTTATTTTTGGTGCAAGGGCAGACCCTTTTAGATCAAAAGCCGTTTCATATCGTAGGTTCTTCACCGGAAATTCTTTCTCGACTCGAAAATGGGATCGCGACTGTACGTCCGCTTGCAGGTACACGTCCACGAGGAAAAAACAAAGAAGAAGATTTGGCGCTTGAAAAAGATTTGCTTTCTGATGAAAAAGAGATTGCGGAACATTTAATGCTGATTGATTTAGGCCGTAATGATGTGGGGCGTGTCTCGAAAATCGGTAAAGTGCAAGTGACTGATCAAATGGTGATCGAACGTTATTCACATGTCATGCATATTGTTTCCAATGTACAAGGTGAAGTGTTGGATGATGTCGATGCTTTGGATGTTTTTAAGGCAACTTTTCCAGCAGGCACGCTTTCAGGCGCCCCAAAGATTCGTGCAATGGAAATTATTGACGAAGTTGAACCGGTAAAACGTGGAATTTTTGGTGGTGCAGTGGGTTATTTGGGCTGGCATGGCGAAATGGACATGTCGATTGCGATCAGAACCTGTGTTATTCGTGAAAATAAGGTCTATGTACAGGCTGGCGCAGGCTTGGTTGTCGACTCAAATCCTGAATCAGAGTGGAATGAAACCCAAATAAAAGCTCGCGCAGTGATCAAAGCGGTTGAATTATCGTCAAACGGATTGATTTTATGAGTTTTTGAGGTTTTTTTGCAAAAAACACTTGCAAGGATTCTGAGTTTTGCTAAACTGCACACCGTTCCGATACGAAACGTACGAAACACTAAGAAACGCCGGCATAGCTCAGTTGGTAGAGCAACTGACTTGTAATCAGTAGGTCCACAGTTCGAATCCGTGTGCCGGCACCATCTTAAGGTTTTGTGTTATAATGTTGAAGAACAACACTGAAAGTAAGTGTAAAGGTGAGATTCCCGAGCGGTCAAAGGGAGCAGACTGTAACTCTGCCACGAAAGTTTCGAAGGTTCGAATCCTTCTCTCACCACCATTACTTCGATAAGTGGTAATTACCAACATTAAGCGGGAGTAGCTCAGTTGGTAGAGCGGTAGCCTTCCAAGCTACATGTCGCGAGTTCGACCCTCGTCTCCCGCTCCATCGAAGATGATGCTCTTATAGCTCAGTGGTAGAGCACTCCCTTGGTAAGGGAGAGGTCTCGAGTTCAAATCTCGATAAGAGCTCCAGATACAATTTGGTAGATTATTCTACACCAGTTTCTCAAAAGCAGGCTTATTAGTCTGCTTTTCAAGTATTAGGTGTCTAGTTTTTTAGACGATTGTCGATGCTGAGTTGTTTAACTCGTGTTCGACATAAACGAGGAAGAGCAAATGGCTAAGGCTAAGTTTGAACGTAATAAGCCACACGTAAACGTGGGTACAATTGGTCACGTCGACCATGGTAAAACAACTTTAACTGCTGCAATTGCAACAATTTGTGCAAAAACTTACGGCGGTG